CGCTAAGAGAAGCTGCCTGAAGGACCCATGAAAACAGCTGTGAAATGAGAGCAAGATAACATACTTGCACGTACAATTAATGTTTACCATCCTGTGATGGCAAGGCTTCCCTCCAGGAGTGGGTGTGAGACTGCCAGCCTCCAGGTAAAGAGCACTCAGAGAAGGAGAGAACAGGGAAAAGACAGCTAAGATTTGGGCAGCACATCCAAGATAGCAGCAAGCTGCAAGGGAAGAACCCTTGAGTCCAGAGGAGCACAAAAATCAATGGGGAGATGAACAATGATCAAACTGCAAAAATTCATACAGGGAAGCAAGTAGGAAAGAAAGGAACAGACGAGATAAGAGTGGGAGAAGTACAAACCACAGACATGGTAAGGGGCAGATGCTATACAGCAATACTTGCTTATACCACCTCTCTAAAAGAGCAGCTTTTAGTAGAGACACGTCAGTGTGCTCATATGCAGGTATGAAGAGGTTAGCAAGGAAAAAGGACACATTCATGTCACAACACAGCTCATCCAGACTCTTCTACCAGGCTGGAAATTAAAACCATAGGCTTGTTCTTGAACTCAGCTCTGCAGTAGGACAGACATTAGTACAAGGCTTTGCAAAACATCTGACCAGAATAAGACAGCCTGTCAACAGACTTAGTCAGAAACAACTTTGTATGTACTCAAGCCTTTACAAATAATTTTTGCCACTGCAGTGCCCTAAATCTCACTGCAGTTTTCTGTGGTGAGATACTCTAGCAGAGTACCAATGGCAAAGCAGCTTGCCTTCTCTATTCCAGCCCTGCACACATATTTTTTTGGTGCGATGGACACAAAAATTACTTTTGAGAGGGTGACATACGGTTTGCCAGACAGCACTTCTGGTGAGCAGTATTCAATTGTCCCACAGAAGGTATAAAACAATTTGCCAGGTCCCAGGTAGGCAGCTGAACCAAAGTCCACTAATTTAATTGTGAAATCTTCAGCAATGACAATGTTTTCATCCTTGATATCTCTGTGAAGGATGTTTCTACTGTGGAGATAGCCAACAGCTGATACAAGCTGAAAGAGGAGGAAAGAGCTAGGTGTTACTACACAGAGGTGTCCTTCTGGATAATCTACATGGCATCACAGAGTTCCGATAGCCACATTTTGGCTTGTTTTGACACTATATAAACAAGATATATATTCTAAGTTTGGTAACTGGAAACGAACTCAGGCATGCCTGTCAGCATTGCTGCAGTGGGCGTTACAATGCTCTTGGGAGAGAGACTTAAAGTCTTTGATTGCTTTCCTCTCACAAACTTGCAGGAAGATGGCATGCTATAGTCACGATGTGCTTGTTTTTTTGGTTAGAAGCATCAGAGCTTACTGTTACAATGCTGCAAGTTACTCTATTTTTATCCCAGCTTCTTTTGGAGGGTCCTTTGATTTCTCCAGAAGGATATTACTGTGTGCCTCTGATACTGCAGGATGACAAAGCATTTAAGAGTGAAGTTCGGTATAAATAATATAGTCATTCTTAAATGCCATTCTTCTTTCTGCACGATTCATGCTATAGTGCCATAATTAAAAATAGCGTCAGAATTATATCACCTTGGAGACAATCGTGATCCCTACCACAATACATCTGAGCAAGAAAAGCAGATGGCTGAGGGAGAAGAGTTTCTATTTATAATACAAAGCTCCCTCTGCAGAGGGAGCAAAGTCTGAAGTAACAAAGCACTCCTACAAACTCAAAGTTGGTTTAGGAAAAGGGCTTATCCATCAGAAGTCTAAAGGGACTAAAGTAGACTGCAATTTGTGAATGCACACTGCACAGCAGACAGAGAAGGTGCATCACTGTGGCTACCATCTTCCATCAGCACCCCAGGCGAGGGGAGTGTGGACACAGAGGTGGGTTACCATGTGCAAAGGAATTCTTGCATACCTTAGAGCAAGGAATTTACTCCAAAACATATGATGGGGAATTACTTGGGGACTGCTGTTGCAGTTAACTCAATGAACAAAGGACAATTCAGCTCTCAGGCAAGCTTCTGACTCACAGTAAACTGCCTTGAGTTATTTTGCATTATGCCACATTAAAGTCCAAGATAATTTCTTGATTTTAAATTCCTTAAAAAGAGGAGAGCCCTTTACCCCTATAACCAATCTAAAACAAGCATTGATCTAAGTGAAAGCATGGCTTTTAGTGAGGCTTGGGGCAACTTCCGTGCGCTTTCCTCCTCCCACAGAGGAAATGTGACTGCTACATGAATGGGCATCCTGGTGACAGGGGGTGTGTGCTGCTACAATCACAGCCAAGAGCCAACGGCTCTATAGGAAATCCTCATATGAAGTAAGGTCCTGTAAAGGTTTCTTTGTTACAGGTTTCTAAGTAAACCTTAAAAAGGTTTCTGCAGGGAGCATTTCAGTTAGCTAGAAATCAGCCCTATAATGGGGAAATAATGAGGAAAAGTTCTGCAGGTATTGAGCATGACTCCAATTCAGCATGCCTGCTGATTAGCCAGTAATTCTTTTGGGTGAAATAGGGTCCTAGTTCTTATATTAACCAAATCTTACCTGCATGTAGCAACTGTACATTCCCAGCTCTCACCTGTCTGAATATATAGCTTGCTAATGGCTCATCCAAGTTGGGCTGATTATCAATGAATGTAAAGAGATCCAGACCAGATCCATGCTTCTCCATCACTAGCTGGAAGAAGTGTTCATTTTCAAATACATCCAGCACCTATAAATAGCAGACTTTTAAGATCCTGTGCTTCATCCTCAAACTGCATTTTTTTTGGTGTGTTTTTTTTTAAAAAAAAAACAAACACTGCTCTCCTCTTGGAAATTTAATCAACGTATATCATAATGTTTGAAGTCTCATTTCACTGAGCACAAATGTTTCTTGAAAAGAGAACATAATTAAAACTGAGAGCAGAATTAAAACCAAGAGGAATTCTCTCTCTGGGCAAAAAAAACCCCAAACAAAACCAACAACCCCAAAACAAAGAACAGGAATCAAGATATGTATCCAGATTATTTACTGAATTAGTATCTGTTCAGATGTGACATCACACTTCCAAGATATGCATCCTATCATACTGAAATAACGTACAGGCTTTTTTTCTGTTAAGTCATACCTTCAGATCTATGTTTACATCAATTGTTTGGGGTAAAAGTGTAGAAGCAAGCGATAGTCTGCTGTAACATACCCTCCAAAATAAAGCAGGATAGGTAGGTTTCTTTCTTTCCTGAAAAGGTAGATTTAATACAGGACACTTCCTCCCTCCTGAAGAGGAACACGAGACATCAAGTATTCAAAGGAACCATCTGATGCATTCAAACTGCATTCACTCTGCGTTCACTGTACCTTAATGATACTGGGGTGCTCCAGCTTCAACAGGATTGCAATTTCTTGAGTAACTCTCCCCAGATCAGGATCATCTACCCAGCAGTCCTCAAGCACCCTCTCCTTCCAGATGAACTTTACAACAACCTACACAGACAACAGCATTCAGCATCACCTGTAAAAGTATGGCTTTAAGCGTTTGGTAAGTTAATTTCCAGGAAAAACATTAGTGAATCATATTACAAGAAGGACAGAAGTAACCCAATGTGCATTGCTTATAGTATCTTTAAACATATTTAAACTAATTTAGCCCTAGAAGCCAAACAATGCACAGAAATGGAATATATTTATTTTCTTTTTATAGATGCTCTGAATTCCAAAGGCTTTGACAGACCAGCTCTCTTATCAACACTCTTACAGCAGTGGTGACTTCTGGCAGAGTGGTGCAGTGGAGGGAAACGAGCACTTAACATCCATGCAGAGAAACACCAGAGCTTGCCTCTCAACACCCAAAATACCTCTGCTGATAAAGAGGAGGGTCCCATAAGCTCAACATGTCTACTCCACATTCTTGAGTCGTGGCACGATAAAGACTTTGAAGTTTGTCATTCTCTTTAGTAACGGAAGACTAAATTCTGTTAAGCTTAATTTAAACTTCTTTCAACAGGTTAAAGTAGCTACATGGTCAGTCTCATTCTGTGCCTATTGTCTTAGGTAACATTCATATACTACATCAACGTGAACATTTTGCTGTCCTGTTTCCATGAGGTTAGCGATGTCAGATTTCTGTTTAAACAAAGGAAAACCCCAAACTACCAAATAGCAGCTTTTAACAGTGTAGTGTTGACAGAATACGAACACTCTAACCTTTCAGTTTTCATCCTAAATAATTATTGCAATGAGATCTAAAAGAAATATTTAACCTCCTGGTGATCTTTCTTGCCCTTGGCAGTCCAGACAAAGCCAAAAGATCCTCTGCCAATAAGGCTCTGTGTGTTGTAATTTTTTGCGTATTCTCCCTCACATGCCCTTAATCCTTCAAGCTCTTCAGCTCTTCGGGAATTCTCAAAAAGTGAAGTTGATCTGATGGCCTAGGTACAGATAAAAAAAAAAAGGCAAGAAAAAAATGAGCAAGCCACAGATTCATGTTTATAAAATGAAGTAAATACTGAAAAGAAAGTACACATCTGCATGAATAGCTAAAAGGAGTGATCTTTGTTTTTGATAGCAAGAATTGTATGTTGATGTAACCACCACCATACGAGACATTAAGTCAACAGTCAGCTCTCAGCAGCTACAAATACTGCTTAATTCAGAGAAAGGTGAAGAAAACAGAAGCATACGGACCTCAGATGCTTGCACAAAATTCTCTGTGCAAGGAGGAAAATGAATTCTTGGTGGTCTATCTCCAAAAGATAATTCTATTTGGTGAATAAAAAGTAGGTTACTTTCAATGTTGTAATTTTTCCAAGTAAGTGTATTCTAGATGGACAAACTAAAAAGGTGCTGCTTTAAGCCCTGTCTATAAATTTGGCAATTTCTATTTGCCTCAGTAACTTAAAAAGAGTTAGTATATAAAAGATATTAAATTACTAGTGTTTACCAAACTTTCTGGTAAGATAGCATTTTAGCTCTGTAGATTGGTCTCTTAGCAGACACGAAGAGCAAACAAGTTCAAGGCATACCCTACTAAATTTTAACACCCCAGTAAAATCTCTAGTAAAGAAACAACGCATGCCTTCCTACCAAGGCCTGCAACACTGCATGAGAAATTAAACACAACAGAAGTTTTTCTTGCTCTGAGGATAGGGCTTGGGGTTTGTCTCAGTGATTATTAGGTTTCTCCACCAAAGATGGCGTCTAAAATGCATGATAACAGAACATCTTTATGACATACACAGTATTCCATACTGAGAGGAAACACAACAAATCTCATGGGAGCATTTGTTTTGAATAGTGGATTTTGGAGTTATACATGAAATGGTCAGAACTGCTTATGTTTCGACATACATGTGCATGTACATAGAAGATGATTTTCTAAAAGGAAAACAAGAGCCACCTTATTACTCAGCTCTCAAAGGTCTCATAAAAAATTTTCCAAATAGCAAGTTTTGCCAATAGCCAAGCTTTTCACTCAAATATCTACTTTATGTCCCAGCTCACTGATTAAAGGCAAGGCAGGGGAGGGAAACTACATGTCTAATCTGCAGTACATTTCAATAAACAGCAGCTCCTTAGAGTCTCCTCTAGTTTAGAACTGTCACCACTATACATGTTACACATATGATATCTAAATATGTATGTACTTCTCTGTTAAGGTCATCGTAAAATCCAGCTACGTAAAGATCTAGGGAATGCATACATTTATTCAAGGGATCTAGAAGATCACCATCACCTATTTCGATTAATCAAAGATACCATTTTCCTCTACAGCCTTGGTCAAAGTACTGTCAGTTTTACATTCCACTACTAATTAAAAAGCAGGCCTGAGCAGTTCTGTGTTCAGGTTTTATGGCATTGACATGTACCTACTGTTCAGCTATGCAGTGGTAGCTTTCTATACACCATCCCGAATGCAGCATCTCAGGAGGCAGCTAAAAACTGCAGGGTTTTTTTGTTGACACAAGTCAGTCAATGAAAGTTTTCAGCCTAGTATTTCCTTTTTTAATAACGTTGTGTCATTGGTGCCAGTGTGATTACATTGATTTAAAAATTAATCTCACCGCACTGGTGGTGCAAACCTCTATTGTAGATGTACTTAAACCAGCCTAAGAACAAATTTAAAATTAGGTGCTTTCATCGTTCAAACTGGAAAGGTAACTACACTAAGCCAAACACACGCTACCAGAAATGTTACAAAATAGCAATTGTCCTTTTTACAGCAAAGAAACATTTCTTTTGACATAGAAATAGGGAAACAAAGAAACAGCAATATCTCCCACCGCCTCATGACATTATTTTAATTTGAAAAACCTTTCAACTTTTAGCTTCAGCTTAACAGTCAAACAGGGAGAGAAATGCTCAATATTATACAATGGTAGAATTTCTTACTTCTCCAAGACTATGTGTAGAAAGATCTGCAATAGACTGGGCAGAGCTTGCTAGACTGGAGAGCAAAAGCTGAGTCTTTGCTACAGCTTCCTTCTGGCTCTGTAGAATGTCTTTCACCACCCAGACACAGAAAAGTATGGCAGGGTCCTGCAGTTCTACACGTTTCACTTCAAAGAGTATACCTGTAGAAACAGGTGAGGAAGTTAAAATGGTAGAATGAGACTGCAGACATTTTAGGACAAAATTCTGAGCGCTTAACAAAGTTAATTCCTCCATTATTCATTTGGGGAACACCTACTTAGCAAGGAATCATCAGAGGGGCTGACAAAAGCACAGCTATTCTAGAAATACTTGGCGGCTACCTCCCGTTCCCAGCCCCCGGCAGAAACTTTTGTCAGTGTCCAATCGTGATTATTAATTTCATATTGTTATTCTAAATTACATAAAAATGGGGATTTTATACAACAAGCCCCAGAATTCAGCTGAAGGAGTGAACAAAACACATTCCATTACACAGTTTAAATACAAGTATTACAATGGAGTTTATATTTTCTGTTCAGAAGCAGTTATCAGGTTCAAATCTTCTAATTGTGTTTTAAGAATATTTTTGACAATTCAGTCTGGATTAATTTCTTAGTAACTTTTTATTTTATACCACCTGCTTTTCCAATACCCTCTGAGTAGACTTAAACACCATTTTCTCTTCTAGATGCTAGAGCTTCTTCCTTCCTCTCCACTGTGAGCTTCTAACCAGAATTGTCTGCCTTCTGCAAAAATGTGGGTGAAAAAGAGCATCCCAATAAGAGTTTTGGGAAGGGGAGAAATAGGTTTAACTTACTTAATTGTGAACCATCTCTGTGACAGCAATTCCCAGTGTAGCTGCCTTCCAGAATCTCCAAGGTCAAAGGAGCTGCTGGATTCAGCCTTCCTTCTTGTTTCACCGGGGTCGATGTTACTTTTATATCCACATTTTGCTGCCCATGCAACTGACAGTCTTCTTCAGGACTACCTTTGCTTTTCAGTGGGTTTCTGTTGATGTTATCCCCCACAGTCTCTGCAAGAGTTTCGGGCTTCTCAAGAAATGCTTTGGAGGATTCTTCCGAGTTTTCTAAATGCCTTCGGGAGGCCAGCCACCCAGAACCATCTGCTATGGCAACACCATTCAACAGCTGCTTTTCTTGCCCACTTGAAAAGGGACTGCTTTTCTTACTTAGCATATTGCCTGCAGCCGAGTCCACTGCATTAGAGGAAGATGCTCCTACAAGAGCTGCAGTAATACCTAAACAATTGTCTGAGTTCGCCTTGACACCAATATTCAGACCCAGTACCTCAAGACCAGAACAAATACAGTTCAGCTCCGTGTCTGGTTCTTTAACATCTTCAGAGATTGTGGCAACTCCTGGTGCAGAAGCACTACAACCCATTTTATTTCCCATGCAAACATCATGGATAGTATTTCTTCCATTTGCAAAGAAGGATGAAGCATCATTTAGCAGGCAGTTTTCAACGACAATGTGCTCAAGGCTGGAATGTTTTGCTTCACACATCAAGTTTGTTTTTGACAACTGCCCTGTAACCATGTGGCTTTGAAAGTCTTGTCTGCAGTCCGGTGTTGTCCCAGACCATGGCTCATCTATTGTTGGTGTTCCAGGTGAGTTACAAATAACATCAGAAGGCAGCTTAATTGGGCCATAGGATGTGGTATCTAGATTGTCTTCTACCCTAAAACAAACAGGCGACCAGGCAACGTTTACTGAAGAAGCTTGTCCCCAGGAATCAGTGGAGTGCTGATGCTTCAGCATTTCGTACAGTAACCTACAGATCTGCTGACAATTTACTTCCTTGAGTTCTTGATGATGAACTTGTAATTGGTTAGGCAAGATACTGGTCTCACTGGCATTTCGAGTCTCAGATGCACCAGATACTGCACTGTCACTGCTTCTTACTGGAATCTTCATGTTCTGACCTAAATCCAACTGTTCTGAATCAGATGACGTGGGAGAGAGCCTTGCAGAGAGCATCTTTTGAGAATTATTTGATCCTGCAGTTGCCACTGTTCTACGCTGTTCCACTGCTCTGATTCTGTCAAGCCAGGTTTCAGGGTAAGGCTCTCTGTGGTGAGCTGACAGTCCATTGGTAGCAATGCTGTCTTCACTGCAAGGATTCAAAGTTATTAGTGATATCATAGTGGCAAAAGAATGAGAAAATGGTCATACTATATACTACCCACTCTTCCGTTACTATGGTCACTATTTAAAACCTGCACCAATTGTTCTATTTTTAAGTTTAAAAGAAAAAGGCAGAAAGCTGTTGGCACAGGCATCCAAAATCCTAACAAATTCCATCTTGACCAAAGAAGAGCAGGTACACTCAAATGGCTCAAATGGCACTCGTTCCCTATGGATTACTTCCTTGGCTAGCTTAATTTCTAAATATATATCATAGATCATTTACCACAACAAAAAGCTAATACATGTGGCAGGATGCTTCCAGTCCTGAGAACAGAAGATCCCTTGTCTGTCCCACAGAAGATGGATGTCCCCATCCATCAATTTAACCATGGTTCACTGAAGCCCATAGCACAAGGTATTTTACAAACATTTCTATTAGTAAAAATGCAGAGCGGAAAAACAATCCGTACAGCAGAGCACTTACAATCCAAGTATGATATGAGAGACATAAACCCAGGAGAGCTCAAGGAAACAATGAGACAATCAGTCTCTTTAAAAGGCAGCAAGAACTGTGCTGTAATAGTCTATACATTAGAAAAGGGCAGTAAATATTTTCTGAGGGTTAGAATTGTTAATGTTGAAGGCTTAAAATTTGACTTAAGATAAACCATGTGCATCATACAGGTACTTGCGCAGAATTTCTAACCTTGTAACAGGAAAAAGACCTGGAAAGGTACAATAAAAATGGCTGGACTTAAGTTACACAGTACCCTGTTTTAATGGATGACCTGACAATTACACCAAGCACTGGAAGGAATAACATTTAGAATTCCTTCCAGGTAACCTGGCTTCAGTGCAACACCAGCTGGTGGATACCATGGAAGGAGATAAACATCCACTGTTTCTGATCTAGCAAAGATAGAGCCTAATTACCTTCCCTAGCCTGGGTGAAGCATTTGGTCCCCTTTAGAGATGAAACTCCTGTAACTTTACAATTGTAGGTTGTACAGATCTAAACAAAAATCTAAGGTAGGCAAAACTCAACCTGTCTTGCAAATGGCACTCAGATTCTGAAGAGAGCAAAGTGCGGAAAGCTCTTGTTACACCTTCCCACAGACATCACAGAGGTGAAGAAACAGTTTTTGCTGGTGATTGCCACCACGGCTTTTCAAAGTGAATATGCAGTCCATGAAATGCCTACCTATTAGAGGGTGTGAATGCCACTTCAGGAGGTGAGGGAGTGGAAAATAAATTGGTCCCATTCTTTTGTTTAGTCTCATCATGTATTAATTTGTCGCCTTTGTGTCTTCTTTCCAATTTTTGCTCTTCATCTGTTGACAGAAGGCTTGCTAAAGATGCAGTCAAGAAGCTGCTGTCTGTACCAAACAGGAAACAAAACCATACCAACTTAATCTTTTATGTTTAGGCTTCGGGGACTACAGTGATTAAAAACAATCTTGGAACTGCCTTGGTCTGTCTCGTCCATAAGGAATTAAGTATAAAAGAATTGATTAAAGCAAAGTGGTCCAAATATGAGCACTCCACTCTACTTTGGCCTGAGAAGTCATCACATGCAGGAATCCAAATGTGTCAGGGCTGCTAAAATTTGCCTTCCTATCAAAGCTCTTGGATAGGTATTAGCCTCCTGGGTTAGCTACTTGGATTGAAGTTCAGAGACCCAAAAAAAGGCCAACGACCAAAAGTGATCATACAAATAGCAGCAGCAAAAAAAAAAGCCCCAAACACACATACACTCCTCATTCCAAACACTTAAAATGAAAAGGTTTAGACCACATTTATATAACTCACTGAAATTGCAAGACAAAAAAAGTATACAGTCTAAACATGTTTAAGAGAAAGAATAAGACAAGAACTTCTTTCCTTCCCCAGTGACAACAGATCAAAAGAGTTTGTAAGATGCAGTAAACCAAGTATCGTTAATGAGTGAATAAATCTGGATTCAAAAACCCTTCCATTTAGTAAAGGCTGAGTGCCAACGATGCTTCCTCACTGAAGAACTGAATTACTCTTAGATTAGAGGTATCGCTTCAACAAAGAATTCTTAAGAAATTGCACATTGTCTACTAACTCTTCTTTGTTCCAGTAGTGTGCATTGGTTTCAATGCAGATATGCATTTCTAAGCAAAGAAAAAAGAAAAAGAAAACAGGAAAAACAAAACAAAACAAAACAAAACGAAGGAGACAAAACCAGCATAAAAGGTCTCTTGCAATATGGATGAAAATATGAACTTGCTTGTGTTCTCTGCTTTGGGCAGAGCTAGCTGGAAAGACCTATTTGGAGACATGAGGCTTCCTTTCTTCTGTTTATTCCTGTTGTGTTCAGAGAAATACAATTTTGATAAATTCTTTGTAAATGCAGCGAACTGCATCAGCAGAATATGTGATGCCTCCTAACTGAAACACCACAGCAACATAACATTGAATATTAGCCAGCAACATGAGCCAATTCAGAAGAATATTAGAATTTTCCTTAAAAATATTAGTCCTAAGTATCTACAGTTCTGCTGCAATACTGTCACAAAAGCTATATTTTACACATCTTAAAATACTCAGAGATCCTAACAGGGGAGGGAGGGAAAGGAAGGGCTTGTTAAGTACAAAGCATTCTCTATTAACAGTGTAATTTCCAACTTGGATATTGTTTCATCTTCTTAGCAGCAAAGAGAGAAGCACAACCTTAGGTGAACAATTGTGTTTACCTTAGGTTATAGAGGAAATCCAATTTAAAAACTGCGTGGAGGTACATTGCTTTTACAAAGCATGTTCCTGTGTTCATGGGCAAATCTCTTCCCTCTATTCATTTTACCTTTGTTACAGCAGCCCGAGCCAGCAGGCAGGCAGGCAGTAACATCTTCAAAGATGCACTCACTCTCTGATCCTGTGGAGTCGTCAAGAGGAGGTAATGGCAAAGAACAGTCACTGCTTCTCTCCATGTTGTTATAGAAACCAGGAATCAGGAACGTAATGTTCTAAAACACAGAACGAAACCTTATAAAGCCAAGCTGACTTTCACAGGTTAGGGCAAATGCTAACAATCCATGTTTGTGGACCTGATTCTCATGAATAGCCAGGCAAAAGTGATCCACATGACTGATGGAGAACATATACTTGAAATCCATACTAGCTCCTCAGCACTGCAAGACTTAACAATTACAGCAAGGGAATTTGCATATCATCCTACAACTCACTCGCCAAACACATGGAACAAAGAGGTTTTGTGCCAGACAGAAATGAGTGTAAAAGATGACTTTACAATTCCAGTGGATATGCTGCCAGACATAGCAGTCTTTTGGGAGGGATTAAAACTCCTATCTTACCTTTCCCAACAGTTCTTTCTTCTCATAGCCAAAAAGCATTAAAGCAAAACTATCCTTGATGCCACAGATGGTTCCATCTGACTGGATGGTAATAAGACCACTGATGGTGGAGAAAACCATGACCGTAGCAGAGTAATGAGAGTCTGGGAAAGAGCCTTCTTTTTCTGTCTGTGGAACACCATCTTTCTGCTCTGCCACTTGGTCCTCTTCCAGAAGGCTTACTTGCAGCTTTAAACTGAGAGGAAACATGTTACCCTCTCTGGATTGGCCTACAGCTCGCTGGATCCTGAGGTTCTAAATTAAAGCAAAAAAAAAAAAAAAACCCAAACAGAAAACCTCTAACTAACCAAATGTTTTGGATTTATTTCAGTATTCATCTAAAATTACACAGGAACATTCTCAGGAAAAAGGAGCAGGAAAATTAAAACGAACCAATCCTGTGAATATCAAAATGACCAAGTCTGGTTTTCTAAGGATTTGGAATGCAGTGTTGAACTCCTGATGATGAAGACCAGGAAAGTCCATGCTGCAGCTTTTCAGCAAATGAGGCATTAGTGAGGCCTCTTTCAACTATCCAGCTGCCCATTTTCATGGCATTTGCAAGATCTGGGTGTTCTTTAGACTTTCACTCCTCAGACAGATATGACTGAAACCGGGTAAAGAATTCAAAGGAATTTTAAGGAGCTGACAGAGACAGCATGGTTTCTTAAAAAGCCAGGATTGGAGAAAAGTATCTTTCACCAGGACAGATTCCACAGTGAGAGGTTGGGGCTTGGTCTTGTTCCTAGTTAGGAGATATTCAGACAGCAGCTCCATAAATAAGCAGCATACCCTTTTTCAGGGGACTTATGCTTCTCTCTGGAAAGGTTTTCTTCTGTTACATAAGGAGGGAAGAGTGTGCACCTATGCTCTGAATGGGAAGGGTATGGAAGAACATGGTTGGTGTTTATACTATACCTTTGGGATTTTTTTTCCTAGAGGAGGGATCTGCACAGAAGGAATCAGGTCCTTTATGTGGACCCCAACTACTTCTTCCGATGTTGGGTAGCCATGGAGATGGGCAAAAAGGAGGTCACATGATGTAATCTCTCCCTTGGGAAGAAAATTTACAGGACTATTTTAATTTTAGCATTTTAGCCACAGTCCATTCAATCCTTTAACAACAGTTTCTGCAAATATCTAAGCAAATGGCAGGAAGTTTCATTCTGCAGTCTCTTCGTGGATACAACTACCTCAGTAAAAAGCAGACACAGCATAATGCAAAACTTCTCCGACATTATCGTGCAGAAAGCCTGCCCTTTGCCATAGGGGAGAAGCAGGGGACTGCAACGCTCCTCACAGAACTTTTCCTCAGCAAGCTGATCCCTTCACAAGGGCACCCCTGCCATGAATAACCAACCCTCTGCCAAACCGTTGCTGTTCAAGTCTAAGATGTCCCCGGGGGACAGACAGTGTATTTTAATGTGACTTGTCAAATATGTCAAGGTGAGCTGCATGGGAGAAATATGCACAGGTCCTGCACGGCAATCCCAGTTTCAGGCAGTGCAATGTACACGCTTCATGTTCACAAATAGCAATGTGCTTACTGGCTTTTAGACACGTTTCATTTGCACATAAACTCTCACAAACTGCGGTCTCGTTTGATCATTAGGAAAACACTCACGTCAACCCTGAAGGAAACAGAAGCTGAAAGTCTTTCCACTGGTTCCAGCACAACCACACAACACTGGTTGTCCTTGCTTCTTATTCGCCTCAGCCAGACCGAGACAGGGATCTTCTCTTTCAGACGGCCTATAACATCCACCTTTCCATAGGATTCAGAGATGTAGTCATAATTTACTAAGACTGGTTACTTAGCAAGAATTTCAAACAAGAATTAGATATCTCCCCATCATTGTTAGAAAAACATTGTTTCTTGACTACTTACTAGTTTTTTATTGGAAGAAACACAGTTTTAATACAGAGATGAAAAGGTTTGCAAATAATTAACTGATCATACACAAAATGCGGTTGTTGCTTTTGTATCTTCTTTCACCGCGTCAGGAAGACTAAAGGCATTTTGTTCAGCATAAGAAATGTGCCAATTTAATACCTTGCATTCAAGAGAAGTGCCTTTCAGAGATGCCTTATTTAAGAGATGTCCCACGGTGCTAATGAATACTCCACATTAGTAACATAGTTCTTACTTTAAGCTGCAAAAATAGCAGTTTAATTTCTTATGGGAGGAGATTCTTCTCAAATCAGAAAATGTTTATTTATCTTATAAGCTGCAGTGTTCACATCAAGCCTTTTATCATGATCTTGACAGAATGGGTTTATGAATTACACAGTGACTCCTGCAAAGTACTTGGAATGGCTGTAGCTTAGAATTAGTGCCTTTATCAGACATTTAATTTTAATTCTGGATTTCACCAAATCAAACTTAGGGGTTTTTTTCCCCCATATTCAACTGAGGATTCAGGAAGATCAAGCTCTGAGACGCTGACAATTTCAGTACAAAAATAACACACCAGGAAGAATATGAGCTCATTTTCCAAGTATTTTTTAGTGACAGCTCACAACAGCAGCAAAAGAAAACAATTTTGAAACATTTCTCATGCAGTTCTCTTATAAACAACCCCACTATAGGCAAAATATCAATTCCACTCTTTTGCACCAACTAGGGTGTCTTGGCACAGACATTTCACAGTATTTGACTGACTTGTAACTTTATAATATGCACAACGCAATTTAAGATAATTTTTAAAATATTTTAAAAGACCAGACAATCGGGAACTTTTCCATAATAGGTTTTTCCCTGTTAAGCAATTATATTGATTTTTTTTTATTAAATCTAACGTCCTTTAAGTTCTGATTTGGTCAAGTCATCATGACTATACATGTTGGCAGCTGCAAGGCTGTCACGGATGCCTCCCAAACCATCTTTTGCCCTTTGAATTCCCACATCTGCAAACTTTTAAACCAAACAGTCCTACAAATGACATGATTGCCAAATGCCCACAAAGTTAAATATATCAGGAAATTATATTGAAAATGTAAAAAAAAAAAAAAAAGCCAAAACCCCAAACCAAAGCCAACAAAACCACTGTATATGGTGGGGAATATTTGCTTGAACATTTCACGTACCACAGTTCCTGAAACCACCGATGAACATTCATCAGTTTCTACGTACTCCTCACCCACAGCTTCCCATACCTCTTGACTGGATTTGGATATCAAGCGGGACAGCTTTTGACCAATGAGTTCCTGACTACTGCACCCAAGCAGCTTGCAGGCTTTGTCATTAGCCACTAGGATCTAGAAAAGCGGGAAAAAAAAAAAACCAAAACACCAAAACAAAACAAAGAATAAAAGCTGTAAGTTTTGTTAGTAGATCATTACCTCCTCAGGTTGTTGCTTTAATGTCTTATAATATCCCTTCCTCTTGGTTGAAATGGAGTGGTTCTTTCAAATTCTGAAATCTTCAAAAACAGCTCACTAAAGCTTCTTATTCTAGGACAACCTTTACCCATGTGTCTTCTTGGTTAAGAGGGTTTGAGATGTTGCTTTCCTTTTAGGTTTCCTGCTTTCTTTTAACTGTAAATAACTACATCCATGGAGGCAAAACTATAAAATTGTATTTGCAAGCAAAGCCTGGGCAAACCACAAAATTTTATCCACACCTGAAGGCATGCAGTAATCACACCAGTCATTGACATACGTAAGCCTGCGTTACAGAGCAAGTCAGGATTAAATGCCTTTAAGATGGATATGCCCGAACTGTCAGTTCCAGCTAAAAATGGCACAGCTCTTTAAAGTTTTCAGTACTCCATTTTATATTAATGTTTACTCTCAGGACAGAAACAGAGACATTCTCTCCCTCCCAAGGCAAAAGGCATATTTACTGGGGCAGATAAAGAGACCTCGTGCCACCACAAACGCATCCCAGGGTTGGCACTTAACAGACAGAAGGCTTGAAGCACATTCTGCTTTTCCTTTCTTCCCTCATCACATCACAGCTGCATTCTTCTTTATTCCCTTTTTCTGTTTGAAAAAAGACTCAAGACATCCGTGCTTCTGCTATTGTCTTGTGTATTTTGCTAACTACAACCTGCAGTGGAAATAAACGCATTGTCAGTCTTTAGAAGGCTACCGAGCTTGAGCAAACTTTAAAATGCCTTCATGACGCTCTGATTGCCTGCAGATACACGTAAGAATAACAGGCATTTTAGCCTGTCTGATGTCATACAACCTATACCAGATATGGCCTGCTTAGTTTAGCAATTGCTACTGCAAATACCTCTGTTGTGCTGACATCCACGGTGAAGATGGCTTTGTTTGGATTGCGTGCAGCAGTTGGGAGGTGCTGGCTGGATTCCTCCACAGCAAGGGCATGCAAAAAGGAGCAAGAACCAGAACTTCCAATGGAAGTGGAGAGAGAGGCAGAATCCCACTGAGCCCACGAGTTACCAGTTTTGCTGGTACAAATGTTACGAGCTGCCAGTGAAGACAAACAGTAAGAGCTCCATTTCTCCCCTGTGAGAAGATAAAGATCAGCTATGTAGCTCTAACAGTCTACTACAGGAGTACTAGAGGAATGAATAAAAAAAATTGTCAGCTGAAGCAACTGTCAAGTAATACCCAAATATATGCTTCTAGATTTTTTAAAAGAAATTACAAGAAAATAAAATCAATGAAATGAAATAAAACAGAAACAAATCTAATAAACATATCTTCTTGAATCACAGCCACTGGAACAATTAAACTTAGTCCATAGGCTAGAAAAAAAATTGCCAACATCCATAAGATTCAATCAGACTAGTCAACTTTTATTTTTCAGTTAAGTTAACAGAGTTTAAAAGGTTTTAAAATCTCTCAAGTTAGAATTGAAACTGTTATTAAATATAATTACAGTAAGTGTTCAAGCCCTTATTCAATACTGCATGAGTCAGAAGCCAGTTAATTAACTGTTCACAAGACGTGACACTGAAATACCTATGCCCACACCAATGTTATATGTTACACAATGCCAAATGATTGTACTAAAATTTTCAAAAGTTCTGCCTGTAAAAAACGTTTCCCTGGGAAGTGGCATCAGCAGCCAAATGCCATCGCTCCACTCCCAAAAGAGTAAGCAGCTTTGAAGGTTTAGCAATACTGGAAGAAGCATTATGAACAACTCATCACTAGGACATCTCTGCATTTATGCACTGCATACAGTATGAATATGCTCACCATGATAAAACAGGGAGACCCGTATCTGGACTCATTGTAAACTGAAAGTTCTTCCCCTCCTAACAGAATCCGGTATAACAACATCTTTCTCCCCATCTGGAAATTATTCATGTTTTAGACAATAATACAAGGTGGCAGGGTGGTCCAATGGCAGGCAATAAAGGTTGCCTAGGGACAAGTACAAGTGCAGAGCACCTGCCCAGCACGCGTCCCCTGTAAACTCTCCCAGCCTACAGCAATCTATGGCTCAGATGCTTATTGAACAAGTGCTTTCTAGCAGCTACTTATTGCTATCGCCTCTAGGTTTGGGGGAGGGGAGGAGGATCTGAAACCGTCTGAAACACATCACCTTCACTGACGACATGTGAACTCAATCTCAAAATACTGCGCTCACCAGACAGAGATGCTCTAAGCCGGCAGAGTTCAGAGAGCTGACTTTTCCTGCTCTTGCTGGCCCAGGAGTAGCATCTACTTAGCTTATCAGAGTCATTCAAGTGAGCAGGGACTAAGCCTACTGATGAAGGCAGAAGGGCTTCAGAGGGGCTATAAGCCTCTGCTGCCATGATCACACTCTGGTTGCCACGCCACACCTAGGGAACCACCATCTGTAACAGAAACATAAGAAATTCAGTCAGCTTTGCAGTCAGGCACTAACGCTCAGGATGCTGGCAGGTAACGATGCCTTCTAACCCAAAGCGCAGCCCTGTAAGTTACGGCAAGACTGCCGCTCATTCTTGCATGTTCAACGTTTGGTCTGTGTCATTAACACAAAGGTGACTCTATTGACTATTACCCTGCCCAGGCGGTATAGGATACCCGTGATCGACAGGACGCCTCCACCATATTACTGTAAGAGCTACCAGGCACACAGCCAGCACTCT